CGGCCTAGTCCCCGCCTTCTGTGGGAAGGATGTGCGCCCGGATGGCGGGGCGCTTGGCAGCGGCTCCCCGAGGGCCCTGCGGCCCGTGGCTCTGCCTGCTGGTGGCCCTCGCCCTGGACGTCGGGAGAGGTCAGCGGGAGGGGAGGGACAGGGCGAGGGGTGGCTGGGCCCCAGCCAAGGCCGGAAACCTGCGGGTGTTCGGACTAAAACCAAGCGGGCTCGCCCGCGGCGTGCCCTGAGGGCTGGCAAGACCTCATCCCGGGATCTTGCCCCCAGCCAACCGTCCCTATTTGCTTCCTTCACCTCGCATCACCCGGCAACTCCTTCCTGACCCAGAGCAAGCCGGTCCCGGGGCTCCCCTCGCCACCCCCCACCCCCACCGGGTCTGTACCTCCGGCGAGCTTCCTCCTCTCCCCCGCCCCCCAGCCAGGACATCTAACCTGGCTGCCCCCTGCCCCAGGCGCACCCGCTCCCCAGTCTGCCCTCCAAAGAGCTGAACCCCTGTGGCCCCTGGCCTCCCTCCACCATCGACCCCGGCCAGCTTCACCCCGCACCGCCGGGGACGGGAAGCGGCCCCTTTGCCTCGGACCTGCGAGATATGCAGCCGCCCTCCCCCTCCCGCAAGGAGCTCTCTGACCTTGGAGTCTCAAGTGATTGTCTCATTCGTGCCTTCCTCAATCTTTATGGGGAGCCTCATCACTGGAGAAAGGGGCAGCGACTCCCCTGTGCCCCGGGCAGGATTGCACGGCCCTCGGCATGGGCTCTGGCTGCTAGGTGGATGATGCCTCAGGAGAGTGGGGGGTAGCGAGGCATTCTCAACCCCCCTGCCTCCACCGAGAAAGCTGAGCTCTGGGCGCCGGCAGTCCGTGGGAGTCCGGCCTCAGAGCATCTTGCAATTATCCAGGCAATGGAGTAGGAGGAGGACGGGAAACCAGGGGCTGCCTCCAGGGAGCCGTAGTCACTCACCTGTTACACTTTGGAGGGGGGAGGGTCTCAGACTCACGCTCATTGGTGGGGAGGGTCTAGAAGGAGGTTGAAACCATCAAGTACCCCAGCCCAGTGGTGGCGTTGAGAGGGAGCTGGCTCTGGGGCTGCTTTCAACCACCTGCTCCCCTCCCCAGGGGACCCTGCGGGAGCCCTAATAACCCCTTACACAGAGGGATGAGGAAAGTCTTGTCACATCTATTATGCAGCAGCAGTAACCCCTCCTCCAGACTTAGCTCCATAGTTTACAAAGTCCTCCCCTGTCACAGTATCGCTAAGTGCCAGTTCTACAGGTGAGTAAACAGAGGCTCCTACATGTTAAACACCTGACCCAACCTTCACCAAGGCAGAGTTAGGATGTAAATGCAGATCTCTGGGCTCCTAGAACATCCTCTCTAGGGAGAGCTGCCCAGTTTGGGAACCAGGTTGAGTGAGACAAGGCTCCAGCTGATAAACCAGAAGATAACTCATTCAGAAGGAGGCAACCAGGGGTGCAAATGATGGTGGGGACTGGTGGCAGGACAAGCGATCAAGGAGGGCTTTCTTAAGGAGGCAACATTCACTCTTGACCGTGAAGGAGGAGGAAGAGACTCAGAGCTAGGGAATAAATACCTTCGCAAGTGGCATAGAGCCGAGAGAGAGAGAGACAAGAGACAGAGACAGAGACAGAGAGAGATGGAGAATGGAGAAGGCAGGGTGGTCCTGTGGTTGATGCTTGGATTCTAACTCCCCGCCACACGCCAGCTGTAGGACCCCAGGCAAGTAACTTAACCTCTCAGCCTCATTTTCTACATCCATAAAATGGGATTAACAGTAAAAGCAACTAGTTCTCAGAGTTATTACAAGAATTGAAAGAATTAATACATGTAAAGTGTTTAAAATGGTAGCCTGCTTAATTAGTATTCAAAAAATGTTTATTATTATTAAGGCTAACTACTAGTCAGTTGGTACAAACCAAATATGGTCTTAGTGGTCCTTTGTCCTTCTGGTTATTGGGTACCAGACTCTTTCAGGCTCATGATCCCCACCCACCACCCTCTTCCCACTCTTGCACTTCAGTACCCAGTTGGGACAGGGAAGAAGGGAGCAAGTTTGGGAAACCAGTGTGAGGTTGCCATGGTGATGATGTAGGACGAGGGAGGGTGGATGCCCAGCCAAGTCTGGCCAAGGACCCAGAGTCGGAGAAAGGGTCACCACTATTACAAAGCTCACCTGGTCACCATCTTTTACCTTATAGGCCCTGTCTGGGAAGCCGTACCCCATAAATGCCTTGGTGTCAGAGGCAATTGGGTAAGGGATAGGAATAGGGGAGTAGGAGACATCAAGAAGGTTCTGCTGGAGGGAGGAAGGCCTGGGTCTGTGGAAGGCAGGAAGAATGGCTTGGGACTGGAGTCCAGTCCTGGACTTGGATTCAAATCCTGACCCTGTCACAGGCTACCCGCATGAGGCTCTTTGAGTCTGTTTCCTAATCTGTATAATGGAGAGATCCACTCCCCCATCCTGGTGGGTATAGGACATTTATAACCCTTTTCTTCCTCCACTGCCCACCGCCACTGTGCCCCAGGACCAAGCTCAGTTCAGCCCCTGCCAGCTCTGGAGCTGTCACCATCTCTACCCCTTCTTCTTCAGTGGACTGTGACCAGGAACCCCTGGACCCCATCTACCTGCCTGCAGCCCTGGAGCTCCTGGATGCACCTGAGCACTTCCGAGTGCAGCAGGTGGGCCACTACCCACCTGCCAACTCCTCTCTGGGCTCCCGATCTGAGACCTTTCTGCTCCTGCAGCCGTGGCCCAAGGCCCAGCCACTCCTCCTGGCCTCCTACCCACCCTTTACCACTCAGCAGGTAAGAATGGGCCACCAGGGACTCCTGGGCTAATAGGACTCAGAGCTGAGGCTGCTGCATATGGCCCGGGGCCCTGCCCCAGCCCCAGCCGTGCTCATTTTCCAGCGAGAGAAACTCAGGCCCATAAAGCCTCTCTCCTGCCAGGCTGGAAGTGGAAACCTGGCATCCCATCTTGCCAGCTCTCGCTTCCTCCTATGCTCTGCTGTGTTGAGCACCCCTGTTCTCCCTCCAGGTGGTCCCTCCTCGGGTCACTGAGTCCCATCAACAGCCAGTCCAATGGGATGTGCGGGCCGTGTCGGTGGAAGCGGCTGTGACTCCAGCAGAGCCCCATGCCCGGGTTCTCTTCCACTTCAAAGGGCAGGATGGCCCACCGGGGTCTAGCAGCCTGCCTTGTGCCCGGCTCCATGCCACACACGCTGCAGGCACTGTTCACCGAGCCTGCCGCTTCCAGGTGAGTGGGCGGGCCCCACCTAGGCTGGCCCCGCGGCGGCCCCAGCCAGAGGGTGGTCCCAGAGGAAGGAAGAGAGGGCTCACCACTCCTGGGAAGTTTGGGGGTCATGGACCACCTGACTCCATGCCGCTCTGCCAGCTTTCACGGGACCCTGTGAAGGAGTTATTTAGGGCTCATTATGGGATTCAGTCCCTTGTATATGATTTGGGCAAGTAACTTAATCTCAGTTTCCTCATCTGTAACATGGGGTAACAACAGTTCCGACCTCATATGAAGTTGGAATAAAGAGTAAACGAGATGAATACAATGCTGGCCCAGAGCAACCCCTCAGTGAGTGTTTACATTATTGTCAGTGTTACTTTGATAATTGCGATCGCCACTATTTCGGAGGCTAGCATAGGAACCCACGGAAGAGTGCTGTTTTGTGGACGCTGGGATGCTGAGAAACCTAAGTTGTAGTCCGGGCGACCCCCCGGTGGTTAGGGGAGGCACTGGGATGGGCTGTTCCCAAAGGTGGAGGAGTGGCCCCACAGATGCATTCTGAGACCCAGCCCCGGCCCTGTCCTGTCCTGTCGCCAGTTGGCTATGTCACCTGAGATTCGATGCATTCTGAGACCCAGCCCCGGCCCTGTCCTGTCGCTAGTTGGCTATGTCACCTGAGATTCATCTCTCCCATGCTGGCCCTGCCTGTCAGGGACGCCTCCAGCTCTGCGTCTCCTGCCATGGGTGCCGGGAATCCCCTCCCCCCACTCAACCACGGCCATCATGTCTTTGCAGCCATCTCTGGGCGCCTGCGTGGTGGAGCTGGAGCTCCCCTCACACTGGTTCTCCCAGGACTCCCCAACGCGGGCTGAGCTGGCCTATACGCTGGAGCCTGCCGCCGAGGGCCCTGGGGGCTGTGGCCCCGGCGGGGAGGAGGGCGCTGGGCAACAGGCCCTCCCGGTGGGCAGTGTGGAGCTGCGCCCGGCAGACCCCCCACAGTCCCAGGAGGTGCCCTTGGATGAGGCGGTGACCCTGAGGGTGCCCGACGTGCCCGTGCGGCCCGGCCAGCTCTTCAGTGCCACCCTCCTGCTTCAGCACAATTTCACGGCCAACGTCCTGACACTGCGGTGAGCGCCGGGCCCCTGGGGGTGGGCCGGAGGCAAGAACCTCTGCAGGAAGACGGGGCAGGTGCCTACTCCTCTCAGAGTCCTTCCTAGAATCTTCGACCTCTGCAAAACATGCGTCCACCAAAGCCCCTCTGGGCCAAGTGCTGTGATGGCCCTGGCAGCAGGCAAGCCCCAGCAGTAGGCATAGGCCTGAACTTGAAGTTAAAAAGTAGGAAGCTCCCTTCTCCTGGGACCTCCCCAAGGCTCCTTTGTCCACTGGGGCTAACTTGCCCACTTTACATGGTAGCTGTGAGGTCCAGGGAGGGGAAATAGGACAGAGCTAGAAAACTGGCAAGTGCAGGGCCTGGGGGTGGTGGATGCTCTAATGCCCCGGGGTGCGCGTCTGCCCCAGCTACATTCGTGCATATGTTCTCGTGCTTCCCAGCCTCGCCGGGGGTCCCTCACCTTTGTACGTAGCCCACTCTTCTCCAGAGGAAGGACCTTCTCTTTATGACCCTTTCTGTCCTGCTTCCATGTTTCTCACACCCTCCAGAGCTCACTCACACACTCATTAGGTCTTTCCTGGACCTTCAAATACGCCCAGTGCTATATTTTACCATGAAGAGAGGAGGAAGGCCTGGTCCCCACCTGGCCCTAAGGGGTCCCCAGTGGTAGGGAAGGGAGCCGGACGGGCATGAACTGGAGTAGATGCTCTGACGAAGGTGCACAGTATGCAGGGGCTTGAGTTAGGGGGTGAGGAAGGGGAAATTCATCCTGCCATGGGAAAAGCTTTCTAAAGGACATGGTGTTTGAGTTGCTGGTGGCTTAAAGAATGAGCACGTGGAGAAAGGAAGGGCTCGCCGGACAGAAGGCACAGGCTGGACAAAGGCTTAGAGGCGTGAATGGTGTGTGTGGGAAAGAACTTTAGATGGAGCTAAAGCAAAAAGTGAGGGAGAGATGTCACAGCCGAAGATGAAACTAGACCACATCCTGGAGGGCCTCGAATGCCAGGCTGCCTCGACTTTGTGGTCAGTGGGGCAGGTCGTAAGTGATCTTGGAGTGGAGGAGAGCTGCGTGGCATGACCTGTGTTGAGATGGGGTCCTTCTGGGTCTGAGGAGGAGGAGGAGGACATTCAGACCTGAGCCGGGCCAGGCCAGACCGGAGGCTGGCATCTTTAGCCCCCTGTGTTCTCCCTCGGATCCTGTCCACAAGTTCATCGCCCACCTTGACACACTGGACCTGTGTCCTCCTCCCAGGATCAAGGTGAAGAAGGGGCTGCATGTGATGGCTGCCCGCCCAGCCCAGCCTACCCTCTGGACTGCCAGGCTGGACCGCTTCAAGGGCTCCAAGCACCACACCACCCTCATCACCTGCCATCGTTCCGGGCCCGCAGGGCCAGAGTCCAGGTGGGCGGTTTTCTCCCCCTGGGGGGCAGAGGAGGGAGGGCTGGTGGGCAGATTTATGAGTTTCCAGGAAAGAGGGCTGTCACACTGCATCCATATTTCCACATGAGCAGGGACAAAAACAGACTCTTTCAAGGAAGCAGCACAAAGCCGATATAGCATTCATTCATTCAACTACTGTTTATCCATCCCCAATTATGTGCCAGGTACAGTGTCTGCGAGGCTTATTCCAGGTGATGCCAGTTTATCCAAGCCACCCAGTTATAGGCCTCACGGCCACTACCCCACCTCCCACCACCACAAAATGGGGCCCTTTGGTTGGGCAATTAGTATTCTCCAAAAGCCCAGCTGCAGTTCTGAACATTTACAAACTCTTCTTATTCGTGACCTGAACCCGGGTCAAGGCCATGGGCTTTGTAGCTCGTGTTCAAATCCTGGTTCTGACACTTTTGGGATGAATAGCTTTGGACAAGCCAATTGGCCTCCCACAACCCCCTCCCCAGAACCTCAGTTTCCTCACTTGTAAGATGAGGATAACACCTTTCACTTGTGAAAACGAAGCAAGATACTGCATAGCCGGCATCCTGGCCAGTTCCCGGCACATAGTAGGTGCTTGATCAAAGAAAGCTGCGAGGGTTATTATTGAGGTGTTGAGTGCCAGTGCTGAGGCTTAGAAGTGAACCTTCCTCCCGGACAGAAATTGAATCAGGTACATCTGCACCCTGCTGGCTATGGAAGGCAGAGTCTGAGTGGAGGAGGCCCAGGAGGCAGGAGAGCCAGCAAGCATCCAGTGGGGGTTAAGCGGCTTCATGAATCTTATAGGGTCCAAGGGTGAATAAGAGCTTGAGCTTGGGTATAATCCCAGCCCTTCCACTTTTCACTGTGACCTTGGGCAAGTCATATAACCTCTGTACCTCAGTTTTCTCATCTATAAAATGGAGATAATCAAAGAATCTACCTCGTGAGGACAGGAAGTGCTTACGACAGTGCTCGGCTGCTAGCAAGCACTCACTTTCTCTCTCTCCTGCCAGCAGTCCCCTTGAACTGTCCAAGTTCCTATGGGTGGACTTTTTGGTGGATAATGGCACTAGTGGGGGCGTGGCAGTCACTCGCCCTGTCACATGGCAGCTGGAGTACCCAGGCCAGGCCCCTGATGCAGAGAAGGACAAAATGGTGTGGGAGATCCTGGTATCGGAGCGGGACATAAGAGCCCTTGTCCCATTGGCCAAGGTAAGGGGTCCCCCCTCTGCCCGGTCAGGCGAAGAGGGAGGTGAAGAGCTCGGAGCTGAGTTTCTCCTGCACCCCCAGGCCGAGGAGCTGGTGAACACTGCACCGCTGACGGGAGTGCCGAGGCATGTCCCCGTGCGCCTGGTCACTGTGGACAGTGGGGGGGCTCTGGTGGAGGTGACAGAGCACATTGGCTGTGAGTCGGCCAACCCGCAGGTCCTGCAGGTGAGTGGCATGTGCCAGCCCCACGTGAGTCTGCATTTACGAGTGGAGCGTTCCTCCTTCCCCATTCAGATCCTCAAGAGAACAGGTCCTCAACTTCCTCTGTTCCCACCACCTCTCTCCAGAATGAAGTGGGAGCTTTGTAACCACAACCCACCCCCAACTTGGGCACTTTCACGTTCATTGTTGCATTGGCAAATGAACTACTGTGGGAAAGTTGAGAGCATGTACTTCGAGATTAGAAAGTTGAAATTGGAAATCCGTCGTAGTTAGCAACTAGTTGTGTGATGGTGGACAAGTTTCTTAACCTCTCTGAGCCTCAGTCTCCTGAGCTTTAAAATGGGAATTAAATTGTAAGAATTAAAAGCACCCTAAGACAGTAACCAGCAGAGAGTAGGAGCTGAAACAATGGGCGGCTACGGTTGTTACAATAATAATGATATAATGATATAATTGTTTTCCCTTCTAGACTTACGTGACCACCTGTCCTGTTACTCTGTAACAATGTGTTTACTTCTGACTCAATTTGAAATATCATTAAGAAAGTAGTCAATTCGCTTAAATAAAAAAAAATGATATAATGATAAAAATCATGATTATTATTATTGTAACCTCATAATGACCCCATGAGGTCAAAAAGAGGCCTGGCAACTTTCCCCATTTCGAACTTCTAAGAGGGGAAGCCCGGAGCCTGTGTTTCCTAAATCCTGGCTGCCCTGAGTAAGTGGCTCCAGTGGGTAGGTCTGCGTTGTCCCTCCACCTCTGCCTACCTACCTGTAGCTGGTTGCCAGGTAGCTCTGGCAACAAAGTCAGAGGTTTGCACTAATGAGGAGGCAAATTCGTGGGTTCAAACCCGCTTCTTTCAGGAGAAAGGTTCTGTTGAATGCAAATAGCCAGTTTTCCCACTGAGCCCTAGGTAAACTTGGATTGGCTGGCTCCTCCAGGGAGAATCGATGCTGGATTCATGGCGAAATACTTCTTGATCTAAGGACATGCATTACAGCAAATACAGAAGCCTACTTCTTCTTAGGGCGTGGGGTCAGGGCTGTCCTCTCTGGTCCACACCGGTCTTCCCAGCTTAGCCCAATCCCTCCTTCTGTTCTCCCACAGGTGTCTGAGACCTGTGACGCTGTGTTTGTGTCTGGCAAGGAAAGCCAGGGCGCTCAGGGGGTGCGGGTGGACTTCTGGTGGCGTCGGCTGCGGGCCTCGCTGCGGTTGACCGTGTGGGCCCCGTTGTTGCCGCTGCGCGTCGAGCTGACGGACACCACTCTTGAGCAGGTCCGAGGCTGGAGGGTACCCGGCCCAGCTGAAGGGTGAGTGGAGGCCTGGGGAAGCTGGCTGGCCTTGGCGGAGTCGCTGTGGAGCTGAGAGAGGGCCTGAGGGACACAGCCATGGGCTCCAGCTGGGATCGGAAAAACTGCTTAGTTACTCGCGGTTCCTGCTACCCATCCTGGCCCTTCACCACCCAGCCCCTGACCACTTTGTCATTTCCGACCCCCACACTCCCTCTCCTCCTTCCCTGCCACATTTCTAAGTTACAGATCTCTTTCTAATATACTACATCATCTGATTCATCTGTCTACCCCCTTCACACCCTTCCCCGAGAATGTAAGCCCTCAAAGGCAGGGTTTTGTCTATTCACTGCCATATCCTTAAAGCCTAAGATGGCACTCAGCTCAGAAAATATTGAGGGGGGTCCCACCAGAGCCCAAGGGTGAGGTGGCCTCAGGCCTCTGGAACTTGACGTCCCAGGCCCTGGAGAGAATGAATGCTCCTAGATTTTTCCCATGGGAGGGGCTCTCCTCTGGAAGTCTCTAATAAGGAGCAGGAAGAGGGTGTGAGCTGATGGATAGGCACAGGCACCAATCAGGAATGAGACCGGGGCACCCAGTTTGCAAGTAGAGAGGGGGCTGACCCAACAGGTGTAGCTATGGGCGGAGTTTGAAGAACGGTGCCCATTGGGAGTTGGGTGGGTCTCCAGAGGGCGGGGTCCTTGCGGCTAGGGGCGGAGTCCATGCTGACGCCCCACCCCTGGGCCGCCCCTTTCTGGCAGGGCGCTGGAGCCGGAGGGAGCTGGAGCAGAGGAGGCGGAGCGGCGTACCCGCAGCTGCCACCTGCAGTACCAGCGCGCGGGTGTGCGCTTCCTTGTCCCCTTTGCGGCCCACCCGCTTGATGGGGGTCGCCGCCTCACCCACCTGCTTGGACCCGACTGGCTGCTGGACGTGTCCCACCTCGTGGCTCCGCACGCCCGCGTGCAGGACCCACGTGTAGCCTTGCTGGAGGGCGGCCGCATCCTGGTGGGCCGGGAGCCTGGTGTCACCTCTATCGAGGTGAGCAGGCCCTTTGAGAAAGGTGTGGGT